AGATGGTAATCTAGTTCAGGATCGTCACCATGCGGACCCCTGTAGAATCCCCATAGGCCGTTCTCTTGAACATGCTTATGCATGTCCAATTCTGACATTCGTGCCTCAGCAGCACGATAAATGTCGTTCTCCCCACTGTTGAAGCAGTCCGCAACAAGTTGCGTCTCTAGCGTCTGCGATCTCCTGCAGTTGGTGAAATTGGCGATGACATCCAAATTGTCTTTGGACACTGTACATGTTGGACAAACACCGAATTTCACAGTTGCAAGGGCACTCCTTTCAGGATAGTCCTGTATATAGTTCATGACGAAATGGTTCACTGTTATCTCACCGAACCGCTCCGTTGTTACCATCATGCCGTCATGGGATGCCTCCTTTGCGGACTGCAATACTGTTGACAACGCTTTATGCAATATCACAGTTTTTCGTTTTCTAAACGGGATGGAGTGCGGACCCCAGCCCTTGTCACGTGGCCGGTGTTGAAGCACTGGAAGATACGCAAGCWGTGTGGCATCTGATGGGCGATGGGCGATTGACATCATCAGAGGATACGCTGTCTGCTTTTGACGACCRTCTACATGAGTCTTGTCTGAATACAGAGACAGAGGAATGACATAACGTGTTCTACCATTCGTGTCCACACCCTTGTCCGCTCTGATAACAGTTTGGACATGGTGACTCAACTGCCCCGTGCGAGAGTCGCARATTTYGATGTCCTCCCCGGSATGTTGTATTTCGAGGCAAGACACCGTTTCAACGTTGTTCAGTGCAGCACGCACGAGGTCAGCGAACGTTGTGCGCCAGTCGCGGTACCACAGAATGACATGCGCTTCTTCGGGCCAATCATCACTGCGTAGATCCTTCTCTTGCCACCCTGCAGCTTCAGCCTGGCGGCCTGCCCATGTCAGACACTCACGACTGTTACGAAATGCGATATCTCTGGGGTCAAATCTAGGATTTTTTAGGAGTGACAATAGATAGTCAACGTTAGTTTGGGACAAGCCCACACCGCTCCTACACGAGAAAACCAATGCCGCTAGTTTGCGGGAGCTGTCGAATGTCTCTGCGTGTTCTTCTTGCTGTTCTTCGGATGCGCAGTCCGCTTGTACATCAGGAGGGGGCTCAACCTCCTGGCTTTCTCCACTGACCAGGTCAATGGGACCACTATTCGACGGTCCGCCGTTGATCTCCCCAACTATCTCTTCTGTCATGCTCCTCTCTTCCACAGTGGAGGGACATGCCCGCTCGGTGCGAGTTCATCGTCCACAATGACATGAAAGGCCGGTCACAGTCACACACGTGATTCGCGTCTTCCATTGCATCTACGTG